TAAATTGTCATGTGGTTTATCGTTATAATTTAGATCCTGCTCCTTATTATTATTAACATTAACATTAAGGCCCACTTCATCCATTGATATCAATTTTCTACCGTCTGCTTTTGCCCATTCCGATGGGTTGGCTGTGCTTGCATCTGCACGATTTCGTACATTTAGTATTACTCGACCAAGATCCATGTGCCAGACAACTTTTTTAATTGTGGTAAATGATATCGCACTTCTAAGACTCAATATCGTTATGCATAGTATAAGTATTAGGCCGAGAAGGGCTATACAGGTTTGTATGATAAACAAAAGACGGGAAAAATATTGACAAAGGGTTTCGTATTTGCTGTGTTTGAATTTTTCAGTATGCAATACAGTCAAGACTCAATAAAGTAAAATCTCGATATAGTAAATTTCGCGTTATACGTAGGGAAACTCGATAAGTCGGTCATGCGCGGCGGACTGACTTATCGAGAGATTTTAAATATTAAAATTGAGAAAAGAGCTTGGGAAGTTTTGGTCTTCTTGGGCCAAAATTGAATCATCGAGAGACCGACTTATCGAGTCTCCCTATGTAGTCAAGAATTCTTTGAACAAAAACCGAATTATTTAATTTTCCCTCGATAAAATGAAGTTTTATAGTAAGTCTCGATATACACTCCCTACCAAAGTATTCGCCACTCTTTGAAATTTACTAGTAAACCATATGAAAAATCTCGATTGTGCGTATTTACTATGTGAATTACAATGATTTTGGTACCGTCGTGAAGCTAATTGATTGCATTTTTCGAAAAAAATTCGATTCCGTTATTGCACTAGAGCAACCGTTCAATGAATATGAAGTGATGTTAACATTAATATAAGAATGAAACGATCCGTGTGCAACGCTTAATTTCTTTTCTAGGACGCTTGACTTTTATGGACGATTTTGACCTCTATTTGGATGCCTATCTTACTGTTTATTATTATATTTCAATTTATAGTTAAAGATTATCCGAAAAGTGGGGTCGCTTTTATATAATTATTACTACTACTGTTACTATTATTATTTTATTACTATTATTATTATTACTATTATTATTAGTATTGATTATTATTGTTACTATTACTACTATCACTATTACTATAGAATGGGCAACAAAATACCTGAAATTTACGCTTAGGAACGAAAATCTCATTCTCGAGACTCCATGCGTCACCATATCTGATCGCGTTGAAATCATTTTGATCTACTAACAAATAATTTTTCTTATCTAGACATTCCTGGAGAGTTTGATTTTAAAAACATATAGAGCAATTTTTTCTCCTTGAGCTTTTTTTAGGATGCTTCTAATGGTGCTGTAATTTTTGGTTCCATGGTGGATTTAATGTAATAGTAATAGTAAATTAGTTTTATATTAATGTTTATAAATGTTATAATTTATATTCATCACATTCTGGTATGATAAAGTGAGCATTAAAATTAACAAGTCCATAATAATAAGTTATGAATGAGCACCATTTACATTATTACTTTTTAAAATGTCATCCGTCACACTGGTCAATTTTACAGCCACGTCATAATCAACCCCGAATGTTCACTTTGTCTGGTTTTGTTGCATGTAATAAAAAACTGCTCCACAGAGCCACACCTGTGTCACAAAAGCTATTTCGTCTTAATTAATTGATTTTTTTTTGTCACACTAGTCATTTGAATTCGTCACTATATTGTGTCGAAAAATCTGCAATTACCATTTGATCAGCTATAACAAGAAGAAAAAACAATTGCAATTGGGGAAGACAAGAATTGGTCCAAGCAAGGACAATGGAGAGACATTGTTATGATTCAAGCTTACTAAATTTGGAAAAGCTTAAGTTATTGGTTCGGAGTCATTCTCAGTAAGGAATTGGTGCGAATTACGTCGATAAGCAACAATCTTTTTTTTTCCCACAACCGGTCCTTACATGTTTCAGCACACCAAAACTGAACAATTTATTTATCTATAGATGGTAATATGTAAAAGAGAAGCAACAGCTGAACGTTAACAGATTATCTAACATTGGTTCAACAAAAGTATCGGATTAGGAAGGGAGTGCGAGAGTCCAAAGTAAACCAATAGAGAAGCAAAGAGAGAAGAATTCAGTTGTCTTTTTCTTAAAAGAAGAAACATTCAGAAGTTCACATTTATGTTTGGTGTAATAACTAGAATGAGTATTACCTGTATTAGTATGGGAATGGTCCGGTGAGATTTATATTTAAAAAGTTGACACGATTGCCTATATAAGTCGTCATTGATTAAAACTAATTATCGATCATTCTGCAGAATGAACCGGGGGCTGTTCCACATGCTTTGTAACTCTTACAAACTCGGAAGATCATTGTTTGATAATCTTGCCAGTTACCGGAATTTCATCTCCCACGCTGTTACAAATTATCGAGTGTTTTTTTTTTTTGTAAAACTTTTGTTGCTGTGCTGCCGTTACCATTCTCACTACCGTTGCTGTCGCTGTTGTTGTTGTTGTTGTTGTTGTTGTTGTTGTCGCAGCAGTTACTGTGTTACTGTAGATGTACATGTGCGATGTTGATATTGATAATGCTGCCATTCTATTATTTATATTAGTATTTTTCATCAGTTTTTTTCTTTTCTGAATTATTTTTGCTTTGCCTAATCAATTAACCTATTTGTACAATATTAATAATACACCAAGACATTTTCGGTGCTAGGCAATAATGATGCACCAATTAAAAGCAACGACAAATTGCGGGAATACATCTACCATTGCACAACAACTGATACTAATAAGTCTATTTAATAATGCTGCATAGCAGTCCACGTTTAATAAGCTCTAATGCAAAATAAGATGACGATCATTCCCATCAAAATTCCCACGCAAAAAAAACTAACGCCCACCAGAGGGGACTTGATATAATTTCTTAAACTCATACAATAATACATAGTGTGTGTTTTAATTTTGGGAAGTTACAAATTTTCTTTTCATTAAATTACAATAAAATACCCTATATTGTTATACCATAAGCAGTTAAAATATTCTACAATAAAATTTGGAACGCTATTGCTTTTGTGCATAAAACCTGTTCATCCTTACTGAAGAGCGGTTAGTCTCCCATTCGAGTAGATAATTCTTTGCCAACTCTTCCAGTTCCTCCGGCTCGGAAGTAATCGACATGGCAAATTGTTTAGCATAATCAACAAAGATTTCGTTTGCAGTTGCGTTGCTCATGTTTCCAAATTTACCCGCCCACGATCCAAGTGGCCAGTCACGCGTCTCATGTTGGATGCGTGATAGTTTACCAGTCTCTTTCAGAAATATTTCAACTGAACTTGCTATGCATGGGTCCCGGTTTTTTGAACGGACTTTCTGTGTGACTGATTGGGTTTTGCGCAAACGTTATTACAAGTAGTGTGAAGAAAAAGTTGTAAAACGTATTAGCACCTGAAAACAATATGCAGTTGAATTCGATCCGCAGTATCTGACATTAAATAAACACTTGCATGTCTTTATGACTTCCGCCGTTGCAGGGCCGGGATTCTGTAATCCAGAATCAATTTCCATTATCTCAATCCATCCACCCGGCTTGAGCATTCTCACACATTCTTTCACCACTTCTGCATACTCTTCGTTCGAGACTTGTAACATAAGAAAAGACTGTTTTTTGCAACGGGAGAAGGAGAGGGAGCAGGTGATTTTTAGCAGATCCGTGATGAAAATACGCAAGACTGTGTTCGCTGATCTTGACAAGTACGATAACCAGTGTGCTTACCATTGTGACAAAATTAAACGTACTGGATTCAAAGGGTAACTTAGTCAGCGACTTTGTCTGTTTAAATTCGACATTAAAATGAGATTGTTCGAAGAGATTTTCGGGCAATACATCGACTCCTACGAAATGTGCCTCTGGATACTCGAATGCAGTGTCATTAATCCAAGTACCAGGCCGACAACTGTTTGTAAATTTCAAGGAAATCGTACGCAAGAAAGTATAAGCAATCAATACTTGTTATTATTCCATCTGTGCCTGTTTTTGAATTCGTTCTATAGACATTCACTCTTTTAACGCAAAGTGCCTTACCCAACATTTAATATTCTAGCACAACCACTGCGTAATATTTCATGACAAGGAGAAGAAAAGTTTCCCTGCCATACTGTTTTGACGATAAGATGTTGCAGTCGTAGTCTATCTAATTCGGCTGGTGAGGGTCTGTGCAGTTGAGACAGTGTATCAATATCTTGACTAGGGCTCAGAGTGTGCCTCCTACGTCGCTTTGTTGAAATTACCGATGCAATGTTACCCATGAGTTAAATGAAGGTGTGGAAAAAAAAACGTCTGTTATAGCTGACAACAAGGGTATATCATGATAGCCGAGGAAAGAAAAGATGAGTGTACAAAAAACAGGGCAAGAATTTTAATCTTACTACATAATTGTACATGTGCTATGATGCCGATCATTGGCGATCATTATGGGATGAATTATTATAAATTACAAGTATTACAAGTTCGAATATTCAGCCGGTTGTTTAAGGGTCATTACTATTACTATTGCCGTTACCATAATAATAACTCTAACCCATTACCATTATTGTCTTCTACGCGCAAGTAGCACAACGGTTATCATATCATGGTACTAGTACGGTCGCTCCAAATAGTAATTGCAACTCTATGAACGTCTTGTATTGAATAACTCGTCAAAACAAGAGATATTCCTGGATGATGACCCGGGCACGCTCGCGGAAAGAACGGTTGCAGACATCTTGAAAGTAGTTTGAGTCTGTCGTAACGTCATTGGAGGAAACACAGTCCGTTCGGTAGATAAAAGGATCTACCCGATGCTAATATAATATGTAAATAATGACAGCACACGTATGTGAATAGAACGAATACATCCAAAACTTATTGTATGAATGCATTCTGATTTAATTGCTTGCAAACGTTTTTAATAGTTCAATTATAAAAGCAATTTCTTTTAAAAAGAGCGCGAATCTTCAAAACAGTAACTCGGATTTAAACAAAAATCCAGAAACTGAAAATAGGAAATCAGTATTTTGTCAGTGTTAGAACAAGAGAATTGGAAACGGTAATGATGCGTTCAATGAAGAAAGAAAACTCCCGAACCGCAAGCTTTGATAAAGAACAACTATGTTAACGGTCGGTTGATTCATTGCCAATAAGTTTTGATTAACGGTTGTGTTGGACTTGTCTTTTTTTTTTCTTCCCCTCCTTGTATCTGTGCGCACGTCGTACAAAATGAATGGTTTTTCCTACATACTCCTACATAATAATATCGCATATTAATATGTGATAAATAGCAACCCCAAACAGTAATATCAGATCATTTCCATTTAAGAATGTGAATATTAATTTATTAGGGCATGCCGAGAATGAACCAATCTTACCCATATGAGCAAATTTCAACATCATTGATATAAAAAAGTGCTCGATGAAAGAAAACGAACGTCTTTTCATCACCCAACGTTAAAACACAGCCAACGCAACAACAATAACACCCTGACGTAACAAAGATGCCTAATAGAAATTCAGAAGAAGGGTCATATTACGATATTAGCCCAGAAGATATTTGTCCCGCTGGCGGGATACACGATTACCGTAATACTCTAACATATTATTTCGCTTTTTGGGACAAACTGTTATTCGTACGAAACCAAGTAAACTTTGTAAATTATTGTAGAGAGAAAGTGGTTGTGTAGTGACTACGTCTCGGCCTGTTATTGTTGTCCATGTTACTGTTTGAGAGAAATATGTTGTGGTTGGTTCTATAGGTGAGTGAACGACATTACTAATCAGTGTATGTATATACTATGTAAGGAAAATTCATTAATTCTTGCCTTTTCTAATAATGCAGAAACCCCACGTCCGATGATTTTGATTGTAAGTTTCCGTAAATTTTCTCGTCATTTCATAGATACATTCTGTAATAGTGATAATAAACTCATGTTTCCCCTCCCCCTCCACCAACGCTTGCGAATCAAGGTATCGGATGCAGGCCGACGGTACATTTTTCATATTTTTTTTTTTGATTCTTGATTAATTCTGCTCCACCCCAGAACTCTTTCTAATATCCTTTTCTTGATAGGGTGAAAAGCGGTGCTTGAAATGCAAGCAAACAGAGAATCAAGCCAAAATGTCGGTTGCTTTGGAGGATTACGAACAACCGTCGTCAACAAATACACGAGATACTAATCCGTCAAACGTTCCTTCTATGCCACAGCCGCCTGCTTATGCGCAGACAAGGGAAGAGATGCGGAAATAGCGCAAGAATTAAACTAGATGTGCGAGAAAGATGTGGGGGAGCAAACAATAAATGAGGATAGGAGAGGTTAGCGAAAGCGGTGTGAGAGAGCAAGAGCATGAGGAAATGGTCCTACTTTGCCGTTGATGAAGAGGGATGTCTGTCTGTGGTGATATATGATGTGAATGAGCTTAATATCAATGGTTTGGGGTTGAAGTTTAAAGCGATTGAGCATGTGGTCACCAAGCATGCGTTATGCTTTGGACGAATCAAGTGAGAGTAAAAATGAGTTGAGGTGTGGGGTTCGGCATTTGGATGATGGTCAAAAATTGTGTTAGTGATTTGGTGTTTGATGTCTTGGAGACATTTGGCAAGGATTGTAGAGAGTGTTTGTAAGGTCTCTCTATCTGAGAGCGTGATGGGTCTTAAGATGGTGTGGGTTTCGTTCCATTATGGCGGAGATTTGACCTATTGTTACGAGATTGAAACTTTTACGAAGATCGGGGCAAAGATTGGACTGAAGTGCCTATGGAAGCATAACGTCTCGGTACTTTTTTGCACTCATGTGACATTAACGACGGTGACACCTTTGGCGAGTAATCGATAGCGTTACTGCTTTGGACTAGCTCTTATTTAATAAAGATCATGTTCTAAATCGAGGAAGCGAAAATCCAAACAACTCAACAATTGCAATAATATAAAAGTAAACATTATCCATTCCCGTACATCATTGATAACTATGAAGACAATGTGAGCCCTATTATGGCAATGTAAGGTGCAGTTTGTTTATGCTGAATTTTGAAACAAAGGTCTTATAGAAGCGTCCGGTAACGGTGAATATTAATATACCAAGAATCTTCGTGTAACGATGTATGGAAAAGAGCCACGCTGTGTGCAGAGACGCGAGCACGCAACTTTACTCTGTCAAAATGAAAACGGCTGCGAAATACTAGTGTTTCAAATAAATATTGGTTCTTCGCGTTTACGCGTACAGTCAGGTAAATATTGGCGTATCGGCTCACCATATTCGTTAAAACTTAGATTCGATTTCGAAACTACTATTGGTTACGCACAACAGATTCACTCTCGAAAGACGAGATTCAAAGTCAATACATATCAGAACCAATCAAAGTTATAAGGAAATGGAAGAAACGGATGAACAATACAAGTTTATACGGGAAACACGTGATATATTATGTACAATATGATTTCATTCGTAAGACCAATCTTAACCTATAAAGCAGAATCTCTTTAACGTCTTTGCAAAAACGAAAGATATGTGTGGTCAAATGTGAATATCCGCGGTAGACCTTGTCAATGTGAAATTAGTGAACCAACCATGTCTCTCCCGAGGTATTTACTGGTTTGAAAACGCTAACACAATTTCCAATATTTAACCGCGCCAGAGATTCCATCTGAAGACGTTGCTGCACTCTATAGAATACAGAGGGTAATAGAGTTAAAAGTACTTAGTATTAGAAAGTCTTAAACAAAGACTTTAGATAGTTATGTCAATAAGACCCACTATATTCGTCTCTCATTCTATATAATTGTTTTATAATACTATTGGTCCATTTCTATATACCGAAATTTCAAAATTGTGCCAGATCGTTCCGTACATTCCAGAATAAACTACATAATAAATTCGAAAACCAGTACGCACCTCTGCGTTTTATAATAAATATAAGAAAGAAATAGGATCTACAAATACTATATTGTTCTTATTTTACATTCCTCAAACAAAGAACATATTTTATTTACAGTAAGAAACAAAATAAAAAGCAAGATTACCCAAGCGCAAAAGATCAAGAGACATATGATGTCTTTGTTGAAAACGTTGCAACGATTACTTCCGGAAAGGTTATTATTGTTAAAATACCCAGAGGAAAACGACTCTATCAAATACAGGTGTACACAGAGCCTTTGGAAATGACCAGCAACCCACGCAAAAGGCCAAAGTTGCTATACCAGAGTCATTTCGGAACATCATCGAGGTGACTTTGAACGGCGGATCCGACAACATTATCCAGAACGTGAAATTATCAATGACATGGTTCAGGACTCAACTGGAAGCGCAGACGTTTGTTTCCCTTTTGGAACGAGTATACTCTAATGGAATCGAGGTATCAATCCAAAAAGAAAAAGGAAAATTTGAGAGCACAATGTCTCGATGCTGTAGACTTTAATAATACCAAACTCAAATGAAACTCCCTATGGTATACGAGATAAAACTACGAATGACTTCAAGGATATTCTTCCAACTTTGCTGTAAATGATAAAAAATTCAATATGAAGTTTTGTTCTAAAAAGGATTCTCAACAGCCAATTGCAATACTTTCCAAACACTGAGTGGTGAATACGCATGTCTTCATAAAATCAAGTCGGCAGAGCTTCAACTTGAGTATGATAGTCGTCTTGTTTTGGTGAATTTCACCTTAATATACTTAAATCACTTGAAATACGGGCTGGAAACCAAGGCCCTTTATTTTCAGAATACAGGAAAAGTTAGCATTATTTTATTATACATCCATGCAACATTTCATTGAAAATTTTTATGTCACATTTTTAATATTAATATACAATAACAATAATATTTCAAGAAAAACTTACTAAAAATTTATGTATTCAATAATTCAATAGAGAAATTGATATTAATCGAATTTATCTACTTAGTCATGCGACAAGCTTCAAAGCAAACACGATAGTATTTATGAAAAAAAAAAAAAAATAGGCGAAAACGTTACGGGTAAAATTTATTTATTAATTTATTTGTTTATTTATAATTCTTGATACTACTTTCAATTGTAGATTGCATCGTGTTAACAAGAGAATCCGTTGTCTTGTGAATAACAAAGTTCGCTAAATGGCTTTTTTATCGTATGATATTAATATTACAACCTCAATTTCGGAATGATCAATGACGTATTGGTTCCAAGACTGCTCGAGCCATCGTTTTCAACAGCATCCGATCTACAAGCATCCTTGGTGTCAAGTAGCAATTTGTACAGAAGAAAACTTGTGGATTCTGTGGTTATATTTGTGGTTCTACGGGTTTTGCTGTCCTCAATGTAAAACAAAGCTTGATAGAGATATTAACGGGTGCTTTCCTCTTTGATATTAAAAAAAGGAGTCAGCTAAGGCACTGCGCGGAAGTCTATCCCAGGACTTGTTAATTTAGTCTTTGCTTAATTGGGCGTTTTAGTAGTAGTGATACGTTTTAATGCAGGCGTTCGATACGTATAAACAGAGTTGACTGTGCCCAATATGAATACATAATTACCGTATTTCTTAACTTTCCCCCCTGGCGCAAAGTACCCTTTTGCAATTTTGAGGCCTGACTTTGCAAGTACTGTTTGCGAAAATATTAACATTATCGCGTAAATACTCGGGGAATTATTAACGGATAAAACTATTTCATGTTTATTTATTTTGTAATATACCGAATGTACTAGAAATATTTTTAAGGTAACAAAACTTATCAGCCACCAAATGTTTTCAAATACTGTATTGTTATCCTCTACATAATATCTTATTATTAGCTCTGCGAATAGTGCTGTCATAATTTTCTGATGCATAGGGTATTTTACGTATACCCCCGCCACTGCTCAAGTACCCGGGTATTATACAAATATCCGGGGCACTTTAGTCAAAGAAATACGGTAAGTTACTTTTTACTATTCACGTGTAATTATGACACGGAAAAAAGTATTGGTTTTTTGAGATGTAATATGTATAGTGAGAATTCTGCGTGTCGATTGAATAACAGTGCTTGCCGAGATTAAGTGAAAGTCGATATAACGGATACGCATAAAAGCTGTTATATTATGACAACTCGTTTATCGAAAATCCGGTATAGCAGATTCGGAAAATGTTCGATATAGCGATTTTCATTTACAGTATTTCTCAAGTTTGTCTCTTTCAATAAGTACTGTGTCAGAAATTTAATCCGTCGCGAGACGATACATTATCTACCCAATTTTCGTAGCCTCATCATATGTATTCTTTACTAGGGCAGAAGCACGTTTGCAAATTTCTTTCATTTGTAAAGCCGTTGTCCTTTTGCCTCGTAATATTTGTTAAATATTATTAATATACACGGAGAAATATTTGACAACTTAGTGCTATTAATATTACAATGCCACAACAATTTAATATTATTGATTTAGTAAAACTCTAATACGATTATATCGATAAACAGTTAGATCGACTTTCACTGTATATAAAAGAAAACATCGACATTGAAGAAACCACCCTCGCGGCCTGATTTCGTAAAGAAAACTGGCGGTTGAATGATTGATCAAGAGTCCTTCCTGTTGAAAATACAATTGGTGGCGTCGTTGAGACAAGAGCGTAAACGGTGTGAAAGCGCTCGACTTAATAAAAGTTCTTGTATTGGTCAACGTACATGAGACCAATATCAAAAAATTTATCTATTTGTATGAAATATCGAATTCTGTATCCTAACTCTTCTGTTCTCGATTCTGCTACCTCAACATCGTGCATCGCTCAATGACTTGGCATTTATTATCACTTTTGCGTTAAGCTCAACAGCAGAGCAAACAATATATGATGATGTTCAACAATGTAAATAATCTGTAATAAGAAAGAAAAAACAAAGTGATTGCTGTTTCGAGCAATAAAACAAGTATTATCCAATGATTGCAGTCTGCGCTTATATTATCAATATCGATCGCCGCAAAAATTAACGATTACAAAAAAATTCAAGCTAATAAAAATCTAAATAAACATGCAAATCTCAAAGTAAGATACAAATGTACTTATAATACATCGAACAAAGGTTTAAAAAAAAGGGGGGAAAGGGTATCATATTTAAGAAACAATGTCAATGTTCGCCAAACTTCCCTTATCACAAGCAATTCCAGCTCCGCCAGATTTGTCAGGAAAAGGTAATTATTAAAATTATATTTACAGCCACCCACTGATAATGGGAGGTAAAACAAGGAAAGGGAAAGTATCAGGTTTATATATGATCGATTAAATGTCTATAATGTCGATCAATGTCCGATATGTATATACGTTTCTTGTGACTATTCAAGTAGAAAGTAAATCCTATAATCCAATCCGACAGGCTTCGCATTCCCACATTTGCTGTTTTTAGTATTACATCCTCATCTCTTAGTCGTCATCATCATCAGTTAACACGTCTGACGTTAATCTCTCTCGAGCATCGCTTGGCTCAACCTAATAGAATATAATAGTCTTAGTTCAAACGTCTCAAATTCCTCTTTCCCGTTTCGAAAAGAAAACACGTATAGCAGAAAAACAAAATACCAGAATATGTGGCGAAACTTCAAATGAAAATGCCAAATCATGTGCTGTTAACGTGTTTTTCTGCGTTGAACCAACGGCGGCGTGGAGTTTCTTGTTCATACGAAAGTCTGCCGTGGATATTCCTAGAGACCCACCCGTTCGTACTTTCTGAATAGCATTGCCGAGAATGTTTTTTAGATGTGACTGTGAAACGTTACAAATTGCAAACCATCTCGTCAGTCAAATACTTGATTCTTTGGTTAGACACTTGAGGATTTGATCTCTTATATTGCACAAGAGTACTCTACTTACCTCAAGAGCAAAGCGCATAAAAGGAACGCACTCATCTTGAATCGATGCAAGTCCGTTCGCTTGCGCAATGTGTATAAGCCGTCGTTTTAATGCATCAGCATCTGGAAGCGCCAACATCTCTTGACACGTCTGTGGGCGCATATCATCGACTGGAATGAATACAAAGTGAAAAAGTTTCAGCATAAATCGTCCACCAAATGCTATTATCCTATAACCATTACTGTAGTAATATCTTATCCCTCCATTCAAAAGCGATCAAACTTTCCTAGATATCTTACCGTGCTTTGGAGGAATAGGAACGAAATCGGGAAGAGCAAATACGGGCAGTTTCTGTCTAATTGGCGGATGTGGAAGAGACTGAGTAAACGCATCGTGATACGATCTTTCTTTAACTTGAGTCTATGAATCCAGAATTCAAAATATGTTAGCATCATGTATATGAAATGTTTGCTGATTGCCCGCCTACCGGGGATGCCGAGACCTCCGTGGGGAGGTAGGGGAGTGGGAACGACCCCATGATACGAACCCTTATCATCTTGATTCGTTCCCTTTCTTCTCGAGGGAGTGACATGACTAGTCTTTTTAGACGTCGTCTTTTGGCATCTGACTGGGTTGCCGTGCGGTCATCATCATCATCCCCTATAAAGGATTAGTGGTTGCAACGTTAGATTTCATGAATTGACTGGTCAAACCAAATTAGCACTCACCGAATCCATGCTTCCTCTTCCATGGGCCGTTGGCTTGGATGTCCGGCGGCGGCGATTCTTTCTGAGAAGCATTATGGATGATTGCTAGTATGAGTGTGTTGTGCAATTCCACTATCCGTAATAAATATTCACAGGATCAAAGTTAGCATTCAATCTCATCATCATCATCATCATCATCATCATCCAAAGTTTGCTACACTTACTTTGCTCTTTTGTCAATAAATTGGTTGCCACATCACGAAGCTCTCCTATCGACAACTTTCCAATCAGATACTTCTTCAACTGTCCCCAGTATCTAGTCGCCTTCTCTCCCAGAGATTCCATCAGCTTCACTTTTATTGCTACAGCATCGTACCTTCCATTTTGTTGTCTAGGTATATGCTCAAATGGACCTATTGGTCGCTGTGGAGTAGTTGTGGGACGAGGCACACTTGGTTTTGTGAGAGGTGCTTTTGTAGGTGGCATCGAACGTGATTGTGCCTTGATCTGTTTATGCGTTTGTGTTTGTGGTGACAGCGTGAGTTTCGTTGGATGCATTGGATGGGGGCTTTGAGAGGAGGATATTGGTAGAGGTGGATGGCGTGCTGGGACGATATGTAGCAGTGATTGGCGCGATGATATTCGTATGTAGGTGTTTCTATTGTGTTGATGTGAAGGTTAAGCTGTCTATAACGATAGTTCTAGTCCAAAGTGTATAGAAGACCAAGAATTTTCCATTTATAGTATATATGACATCGTCAAGTGTTTCATGATGAAGAGTAAATTCACGTGAGTTTGGTAGTTCAATTTCCCCGAAAAAGGAAGGAATACGAATTATACTAATGCTAATACTAAAACCCAATTTTATAATTGAACAGGATATATTAAATACTAGCTCAAATATAGCTTGCCCTTCCTTTACATGACACGGGCGTCGTAATACCGGGGAGATGCCTGGACGGCCAAAAATACGCTATCTGTACACAATGTTTTGATTATTCGTTAAGATGATGAAACTTTGAACATCCGCAACTTCCTGGAATAGCAATATTACGTGCATATAATCTTTACCTGACTCATCTTTAAAGACATGGTGTGGGAAAACAAAAATGCACGCCCTATAAAGAGGGAATACTTTGCCGTTCGAGTATGACAACGTCAAGAACTTGATTACTCAACATTTGAATCCCACCAACTGTTGACTTTGTTGGCTTACTTAAACATGGCATCTATCACTCGAATCGTTTCACATCCTAAATGAATCCTTCCTGTCACAAACAAAAACATTCTCTATGCCCTTAAGGTCCGAAATTCCGTGGTTATTTCAGAAAAAACATCAAAGTCTTGTCATGTGATTATTTGTATATTGCAGTTCGATCGTTAGCAAGTCATTTTTATTCTTCTTTCCAAGCGATAATAATAAGAACGTAATGTCTACTGTGTTGGATGACTAATGCTGAACCAGCCGCAAACTATTTATATGATTATCCACATCTACCGATTGTACCTGGTACATCAATACAATGTCGTTAATTGACCAGTCGATTAGTCAGACATATAAATAAAAGTGGACCAAATGTATAAGAAGTAGGGGAATTCGGGTTCTCCTTTCAGATATTAATACTTTTATAGAATCATTGAAGCTTGTTACCAGACCTCGTCCAACACGATTTGACATGTCGTTTGACAATTGTCCTACAATAAGCCGCGCACAACCACAAAAAACTTCCATGAAAGCCTAAACTCTATTTCTACAACGCATTTTGTCCGACTTGCATAATTCTAACAAAGTTTAGAACTGTTCCCAATATTAGCATCAAATCGATCTGAGATAAACATCAACTTTAATTATAGATCAACAATTATCAAACTGTACATATTGTTTCGCCTTACTCCTTTCCAATTGGTGCACTTTCGTCAGGTTTAGGATGCAGTCTCCCACAGTGGTTGAAACAAACGAACACTTTGATATTTATTGTTTCAACTGCAAGAAAGTAAAGATGTCAAATTGTAATCACTATTGCTGACCAGTCATCGAACAAGGCAAATGGCGTAATTAGAAATAAAGTAATATAAAAAGAATGATTCTATATGGATCAAGCAATTTAATTAATAACTGTGTTAACTATTTATGGCTAGTAAAATATTTATATTAATAGTTCACACGTGAGTTATTTTTTATTAGTATAAATTGTCGATCTCATTAGTCATTTATATATATCGATCCCGCTATCAATTTATTTCATGCAAGCATTGTTCTTTTTTTTTGATGATTATTTTGGGTTTAGTCTATACTGCGTCAACACGGTCAAAAGAGAAGCAAAGCAAAGGCCGGTTTGTTAGCAGCCTTTCGACTAAGGCAAAGATATTATCAAGATCGTGTATATTGTACATATCTAATAAAATGGGGTTTCCAGGTAAGGTCGTCTTGAGGCTGGTTGTCTTGGAAACAACTGTTGACAAGAACGTGTTAAAAGCATTCCATTCAGAGTTTTTTTAATTAATATCATCAACATAAGTTTACATACTTTATCGCAAATTGCCTACCATCAAACGCGTAAAATTTCCTGTCCACTCCATAAAGCTATAGACCAACCACACGACTCTCTCCTTTCAATACAACGTCCACAACAGCATCAACGCCAATGTCAACAGTCTGAATCGTCGTCGCAACTTTTGTCTCAACAGTTACCATCGTTTCAAAACTTAGAACCCCTTTCACCGTTATCCGATCATGCTTCAGACTCCAATGTTGCAGCTACTGGCTACGTAATGCGTTCTGCTCGCCAGGTAGTTATCTTACGACGGAATAATTACCATCATCACCCATACGCTGCCGCAAATCCAGCATCTACGTCTATGTATAAGATCTATGGCAATAACAAATGTAATAGAGTTGAAGGTGAGTGATGGGGCATACTACAAGAGAGCATGTGGATGTACAATTTATTATAAAAAATTTAGTATTGAATTAATTATATTTTTGAATTGTTTAATGTTCTAGATCGTATCAATAATTTAAATCAACAAGCGGTCGAGACTTTTGTCAAAACAGAGCGAAATTGCTCTGATGATATCTACACAGACAGGTGTCTTTACGCGCCCAGTAGCTCTCACATCTACCAGTCCCATTGGCTAATGAACTCGGGTCAACAACAAACACCGTTAATTACCCCTATACCATCGTTAACTGTACCTATCGTACCATCAACTCCATTATCTTCAATATCCGATAATTTGTTGTCGCAACTTAACGTATCATCATCGTGTTCACCCAACGGAATTAAACTACTCATACATGGTGATTTAATGACGACTACTAGGGGCTGGACCCCGGATGAACGTAAATGTGGCAGACGGTTAGTACAGTTTCGGCGACGACAAGAAGACAAGGACATACATGTCTGGTTTAGAACAATTGATCCGAACGAAAGAATACCCAATGCAATCATTGTTTCGTGCATTTACTGGGCCATAAACAAGAAATGGTATATTACATCTGTCGACTATGTGCATTTGTTGGAGTCAATTATTGCACTAAAACTTACTATCGAGGAAAAGAACAGAATTCGCCGAAATTTGGAAGTGTACAAGCCTTTAACAGCGAGCAAACACAATGAGTCTAGTGGGGATTTGTATAAAATGATTATGGAATTCCCCAACCCAAGACCTAGGAATATTGAGAAAGATATTAAGGTATATTCATGGGACTGCCTAGCAGCTGCTTTGCATAAGATTGTGAATAAATATGCAAAATGGTGATACCATTTTCCATGGGATTGGTGTATCAGGAAGGTATGCTATGAAATTACTATTATTGGATTATTCTAGCAAATAAAGCAAGTAAAAAAATAAATGCATTTTATGAACCATCAATTAAGAGAAGACTATGACTTAGTTTATTATTATTAATTCAATACAATTTGCAAAAAAAAAATTTTTTTTTTTAAATTTTTGTGTAGTTGTTATGCCCCATATGTTTGAGGACAAATTTGTCTAATAATAAATCATTCCTCATTTTTTTCTCGAAAGCTTCTATCTACCTACAGCACAAACACTGCACATTATGTAGAATTGGCAGACCTTTATTTCAGAAAATTTCAATTAGTAATGTGACTGATTTTACCAAAAAGTGTTGACTGTATGGAGGTGTGACTTGTACAAAAAATTTCTCATTATGTCATGTAATTGTGCTCTTTGACTATTTATTATTGCTGTTGTGAAAAAGTATTCATTATTATATTAATTTATTATATCTTATCATTTTATTTATACCTTTATTGACTATTTATATTGCCAGACAAGCAAAGAGTTGAGTTATAATGTATAATCGCGACAAAATAATTGGGTAAACACAAAATCAGTCACGTGAAGTGACTGTAAAGAGGTCCTTTACTCTATCATAATTAGTAATGCGACTGATTTTACTATTGCCGTTCCGCAAAATCTGACTTATGACTGTAGGGGGTCTGACTGTATTAATATTAATATTAATATGTAAAATGTTAAAATTGGCGGACACAAGTTCCTGATTGGTTACTTGTAAATCATGGCAACGGTTTTACGGTCACGTGATTATTTCTATATGTAAGACATAAGTTTAGAATAATAATTGTGCTTCTATAATTTAACCCACCATTGAAACTTACGAAGCAGACTGTAGAAAAGATGAGCGACCAACTCGAGTTTGTCAGACAGAAAATTACAGAGACTGAAGAAGAGATAAAGCGCATTAAGGCTCTTCCAGAAGATAATCCAGAGCGGGCGGTACTCTTCCCTGCTCTTTCATCCCTATATGCATACCTCGCGGGACTCAAAAAAAAAGAGATTTTTTTACCAGTACTAGAGGCGCCGCATTCTTGTGACTCGGGCGTTGGTATTGGGGACATGGAGCAGTGTGTATATAGTAATAGGGTAGAGTAAACACAGTAAAGGGGTTTTTAATATTGACTACATTATATGTTTACTAACATTTAAACAAAGGACTTATTATTTGCAATGCTGACTGAATTGTGCTTACATAATTTATTTCCTCCAGATCCAAATCTTATCGAATTTGTGGTCACTACAACTCTGGAACGTCAGCAAGACGAGGAACTCATTGTCATGTCCTCTTTGTCCTTACTCAGAAAGAAGCTAAAAATTACAAGAAAATTTGGCCTTGCAGACGCTTTGAGGGATGTCGGAGAACTGTTTCATGGTCTTTGTAAAATTGGTAAAAATCCAGAACCGTGTCAATGAGATGAAGACTGTACAGAAAATCAACAGGCTGATTATTACGCCAATAACCAAGTATATCCGAGACAAGTTTCTTGGATCTCAATATCTTCATGGGAATGTTGTAGAGAACGTTCATATGGACAAGAATTACTTGAGTCCTTCGCATCTTAGAGGAGGCTGTGATGTATCTGTTTACAAAAAAACAAAGGAATTAGGATTATAATTGAAGTAAAAAAGGCATGTCTTGTCTGGTCCGAAGAAAGGAAGAAAAGTATTTAATATTCATAACGACTCTCGCCCTGACCAATATAATTATTTTACTATTTTTATTAATATTTAAATATAATCTATGCAGAAATTCAAGACTCAAGTGACTTCAACCAAGTGACAGCAGAATTAATTGCTGTGAACACTATTTCAGCTAAAAACCAATTGTAATATAGAATATGCAAGTACATTAAAATTGTTAATTCTTTAGCAATGCTATCCGTATTAGTAATATAACATCGATAATCATTTCGCTGACGTAATGTTTCGCTGACGTAATGTTTCGCTGACGTAATGTTTCGCTGACGTAATGTTTCGCTGACAACCAGGTCGTTTCACATTGACAATAATTTCGCTGACAATTATTTCACCAACAATATAATTTCGAAATAATGTTTGTGAATGATTGCCAGTGAAATAATGATTGCTGATGAAATGACCTTGTCAGTGAAATGGTTGTCAGCGAAACATTACGTCAACGAAATAATTGTCGATGTGATGATTGCCTCCTTATCATCAGATGATGGAGAAACAGGCGCTTTTGTAGTCATTTAAAAACTAAATCAACTAAACCACTTTCTGATAAAGGATTACTTTCACAAAATTTTAGTATTCATTTAAAAATAAAACTAGAGAACTAAAAAAAGAACCATCAAATGCTAAAGAAGAATTGAATATTGAAAGAGAAAAAGTAACAAAATTTCAAGAAAAGTCAGAAGAGTGAAGTAAAAGACAGAAGGAAGAGTTATTGATAAGATAAAGAGTTGGAAGAAAACGTTAAGCAGTTAGAAGAGGTTTTCAATTATTGAAAGGGCAACAGAATGGTCTAGTTGCTCAAATTGAAGTTAAAGAAACTAAAAAATGAATAATTTAAAGACTGATAACTTTTATAAGTAAATTTTTCTTGATCTAGATATTCTTGGAGTTTGGGTGTCATTGACTTTAAAACATATGGAGCAATTTTTTCTCCTTAAGCTTTCTTTAAAATACTTCTAGTGACACTGTAAATCTTGGGTTTCATATTCATGGTGGATTTAATGTAGATTAGTTTCATATTAAAATATCATTTTTTTATATAGGTTATGGTTTATATTCATCACATTCTGGTATAATAAAGTAAACATTAAATTAACAAGTCAATAAGTTATGAATGAGCATCATTATTACTTTTCAAAACATCATCAGTCACACTGGTCAATTTTACATCCACATCATAATCGGCCTCTCATTTATAGAATGTTCACTTTGTCCGGTTTTGTTGCAGCATGCCCCGTATAACTTACACTGACACACACAAACGGCAATTGCAAGAAATTGTAACAGAAGTGCTCAACAACACATCCTAGAGCAATAAGTTAATGCTATTATACCACCATCTTAATTCATACATTTTCATGACGCACGCGCTTTAATTTTCGTAACCCAGTAAGACCAGGTGTTAGACTCATTAATGGCTTGATACATAATTATATGTAAAAGTACGCGCAATTCTCAAAAGATTCAGGCTATGCTAAGACTCTATTACCTTTTGGCTCGGTGGTTATCTGCTACACATGCTGTACGCAATATCTGCGTAAGTTTGTGGATGCAATACTGGTGGCATGAAATCACATGATGCGAACTGTGACTTAAAAGTCGCACAACGATTGAGATTATTGTTATCTTAGTTATCTTACTCGAGACAGAAATTATCCATTTAGAAGGCGTCTTCTAATGTTTAAGACTCTAGAGTTTGCGTCAATTAAGTCAACGCCAACTCTTTCGTTTTAGATTTTGTCAAGGGATTTGTTTGTCTGCAGTGTTCGTGCAACTAGACTTTGGCCAATAATACATTGAGGCGTCGTGGCTTTAAGTAGAGCTGCCAGTTAATTTGGGCACGACACGTTCCGTTTAACCGTCAACTATATATTTTTTCAAGCATTTGACAGCTACCATGTCATCAAACCCCCCTCGCAGGCGATCACAACGCACGCTTACATCCTTCCTCACCTCTTCAAAACCATCTAGCACTTCTTCTAAGCGCGAAAGAAAACGCCAACGAATTAATAAAGGAAGTGATGACTTTGTTGAGGAGATGAGAGAGATAGATATTGATGATGAAGAAGAAGATGATGATATGGAAAGGGATGAAGAAGATCGCGTAAGGAGATCCATTGACTTTGAAAATTGGGAGAGAGATGAAGAACAGGAGAAATATGCAGAAAAGAGTATTGAGAAGAATAAAGAACGTGAAAATTTGTATAGCTCTGCTGAATCTAAGAAATTGGGTTGAGTATATGTTTATTGCGTACATTTTCGTTCTTTCGCGAATTTAGTCGTCACTGCTTGCTCGTTTTTTTTGAGCTCGTTACGAAAATACGTCATTTACAATGATCATGTTCCTTTGTGGATCACATCATCTTTCAACACAGCTTTTCACAATGAAGACCTATCACCAGAACAAAAACTCCTTCATGCGTTCGACCTAAACTACGCTTATGGCCCATGTGTTGGCGTAACTAGACTTGAACGGTGGGAACGCGCAAGAAAGTTGGGGCTTAATCCGCCGATTGAAGTGAAGACTTTACTCGAAACTTTTGGAGCTCAGAAGATTACTGAAATTAGCGAGTCGTTATTTTATGGACGGGTTATTTAGATTTTGAAGGAACGGAAATAAAACGGGAGGGTGTTGTGGTGTGAAAAAAATAACAAGTAAATAAAATTATTTAGTCTAGTTTTTATCATAACAAATTCTTCTTTGTAAAGCAAAAACTTGCAGATTGTGCGAAAAACGGCAGTGGTATGTACACATTGCTGAATGCTGCAGTGAATGTCTTCAGAGATCACGTTCATGAGGTTGTTTGTTTATGAGCAAGTAAGTATCTGAAGTTCTAAACTAATCTAATCCGCAAGATATAAAATCAATTTAATGTTGACGAAATTATTCGCGTTTTGTCTAGCTTGAAGAGAAGGCAATTTCATACGGCAAGGAGTACCTAAGAGTCTGCACAATGATATTCCGGGCTGACGCGCACGAAAAGATATTCAAAATTAGTGACTTATACTCAAACAACTAATCTTCTCACATATTATAAGCGCTAGTGTTTTTGGTGGGTGCCATATTTACGTATCACATATTTTCGCATTCCGATTCTCGAAGGAGCAGGTTGTCGATACACGTACGTTTACAAACCAAAAGTTTTATTTCAACATCAAGAAAGTATTAAAATGTAAAGTGATGGGTTCATAAATGAATTGCTTAGAAATGGAAACATTATTGGCTCAGACCCCATAAACAATTCCATTCCACCGACGTCGCCCTCCGGCACTAGTCATGTATGAACCCGTGATTCGGAAGAGATCAGCCAGGCAGCCACGGATGTTTAGTTAGGGGCTCCGAAGGTTTTAATCATTGATCCTTTGTTGCAGGATATCAACCCTTTTACCAGTTCTTCATTGCCAATATTGAATAAAAATGAAATAAAAACATATAAAGTCAATAATCCTCTATGGCACCCTCTACTGAAGATGAAGTCATTTGAGTAGACTCTCATAATTGGCTAACGTTCGTCATTTCTATTGCCCGCCAGCTGCAGACAAGTAGATCCGAGAGGGTTTTGCCACAAAATTTTCAGCGGATGATGTGCTTATTTATGGGCAACGAAGATTATGATTGGATAGTTGGGTATCACGAACACAAACTCATAATAAATGGCGTTTATTACTAAGAGCTTACCGCAGTCTTTTATCAAGATTATATGGGGCATGCTGCAACAAAACCAGACAAAGTGAACATTTGACACATGACATAAATGAGAGGCTGATTATGATGTGACTGTAAAATTGACCAGTGATGACGTTTGAAGTAAGAATGGTGCTTATGGACTTGTTAATTTTAATGCTCACTTTATCATACTAGAATGTGATGAATATAAACCATAACATGATTAATATAGGATTACCTCTATATAAAAAAAATATTAATATGAAACTAATTTATATTAAGTCCACTATGGAACCAAAAAATTACAGCACTATTAGAAGCATTTTAAAAAATGAACAAGGAGAAAAAATTGCTCCGTATATTTTTAAAATAAATGACACCAAAATTCTTGAGGATAAAGAAAAAATCACCTATGAAATTTATCAGGAAGAACGAAAAATCATAACTAATAAACGAACATTACCACCAACACATGATGAACCAAGAAAAAAACGAAAATTAGAAGACAGGTAAGGGAAAGCAGTTTAACATTCCTTATAATTTTTAACTTGTTGATAACGAACTGTTTGAATGCATTTATTGAGCTTTGACCACGTTCACTACTTTGACACAATACAATTAAAGAGGGCAAACAACGTAAAAATAATTCAATTTTTTCGTAAGCATAAATTTTATTATTCGATTATCGAATGCGCGCTCTTGAAATATAAATAATAGTAAAAACACCAGAGTGATCGGACCCAAAGCCATTGATGAGTATAACCTATTCTTTGGTCACTCTGGTGCGAATCTAAATATTGCTATCATTTTTACCATTGCTATTATTAATAAAATTATCACTATCATCTATTATTTCGTCATCTTCATGGTTTACATTTTCCTTTTCTTCGTCGATCCAACGTTGGATTGCTTCAATGGTCTTTTTCCGCGGAATTGTTCTTCGAATATAAAAATGTCTTATTGTTGATGCAGCGATGGCTTTTTGTTTATTGAGCAACATGTAAATTTCAAGCGCCATTTGATTAAATGAAAAATTTCGGATCCAGCCCGGCTTTTTTGTCAAACACGTTTTCAAAGCTCTTCCACAGTTTTTCGATGTCTGGCAAGTAACTTCGTTCGCCGAATGGTTTACTTGGTTTGTTATTATGCCTTTTTTTAGGCTTGATTAAATTGATTATTTTATCAATTTTTTGGCTTATGTCGTGAAGTTTATTTTGATGGAGTGTATAATAAAGCATAAACTCCGATCAGTAATCCACAGTAAAATTCGCTGGGGAAAATGAGCATTTTCAATTTATTTGAGTCAAAAGTGAGAAGGTGGCTTTTACAATTGATTTTGCGATCAATTTAAATTGACGGTTGTTTGGTATGAAGAAGAGAGATCTGACGGTCTTGCTGTTTTTATAGTAACCTCATGCGCTCATATAGGGTAAAGCCGATTTGCTAAAGTCTAGACAAAAACCGCTTGATTTATCTCTGAATCCTTTTTCTTTTGACGATAAACAAAGATTATTTCAAACACATAAAGCACATCTTGAGCGTCTTTATTGTTCTTTATGGCAGTATAACAATCGCTAATTAGTATTGGTTAGAACTTATATTGTGTGACAATTTAGAGACAACGTTCTATCAAACAAAGAATGTAGGTATTCGTACGAGTCGTATGACGAAATACTAAACTAATCAAAATAGTAATACTACATGTAATACGTAATCATTCACGGGGGGCAACAGTCGGACAATCTGATTTGATGATGCATAAATTGTTCCATATGCAATGGAGCGCAATCTTTGAAACATCGATGACGCGAACGCGGAAGGGAAAAGATAAGGTAAGGTAGAGATGTGCTCAAGCTCTTGCAAATGAAACCACTGGCTAGAATTAATAAGAGATAATAACTATAGCTGCTCAAGCGACTTCGTCAACAGCCAGACACGACGCTGCTCCTCCTCCGTTGCGGACAGGGCTGTCTAGCGGTAAAGTAGATTTATTACGAGTACTGTTTTGTAGAAGGTTTATTAATATTGTCTACGAACAAAACAGCTATGGAGGACGTTCGCTTAAGCTCTTCGTCACCTAAAAGAATATGGGTGAAATATGGTGACGCCCAGCCCGCAAGAATTGACTTCGAAGGAGGGGAGGTGTATGACTTGAAAAAAGCGATTAAAAAGGAGTTGTCAAATAAGTTGGGTGATGTTGATGTTGATGAGATTACTTTGAGAAGGCACGGCGAGGAAGAGGACTTGCGTCCTGGGCTACTAGTGGATGAAAGTTTTAAGAATGATGATGGATCACCTCTACTGGTTACTGGTATGTATTGAGTTTATTGGGAAGCGAGAGTTCTGACGGCTTGACAGTTATTTTGGCAAACTACGCCTTTTTATAATAGTCCAATGCGAAAGAAGTTGTTAAAGCAAAACTCGTGTTTGCGTCATTAGTTACTGTGTGATTTTTTCTCATAGACAGAGTAATATATTAGTATGCTTGCTTCTTATCATCAAACCCACAATATCACACTGCAACTTATTTTGTATACCCGTTGTTTCTTTACTATTACATCGTCAGGAATATGCAAAAGCAGTGGAGGCACTTTCAAAGATTCATGAGCATAGAGTTCTTCATAATGACCTTCGTTTTGATAATATCCTTGTGCATCGCATCAATGGCAAGGTTAAGGTATCCATCATAGACTTTGGCTTTTCAAAGCGAACAGACAATGATGAGGAACTTAGCAAGGAAATGGCAATATTGACTAAGTTGCTTCACTCTGCAAACAAACAATGAATATGAAGTCTTTCCTCTCTGATACTGTTGCATTGCTAGTAGAAACATATAATACTAAAAGAAAAGAAAAGTTACAATGTTTACAGAAAATAAAAGTATCAATAACATATGAAATCTAGTCATAGACTGTGACCAATTATTTGTCACTAGGTACTCTAAACCATACAAAATGATAAAAATTATATATAGGATTACCCGTATATGAGAAATTATAATTATAATGATTCCACCGAATATGAAAAAACAGTGCGTTTCTTAGAGATAGGTTGCAATTGTGGTTGCTCAAAAATGATTCCGAGAGAAAGGTTTGCCGAATTACGCGAAGCGTTTCAAGCTCTCTCTAATTCCGAACAAGATATATATTTAATGGCCCAACTGAAAGCGATGAATGGTGGAGAAACAACTGCCAGCCGTCGTCTTAAAAAGAAAACACGTACTAATAAGCGAACGTTTTACTACTGAGATCGCAATACACCGCTTTGTCAGAAAACATATCTCAATATGTTAGGAATTGGTCGCACTCATTTCGAAAACGTCAGAAACCATCTGGCAACGAATGGTATAATAGCGCGTGTTCATGGTAACATAAAACGAGTGCCGCGATGGAAAACCAAAATAACCATTTGATATAACTGTTGCTACCGCCGTGAAGAATTTCCTTGAAAACTATGCGGAAATTCATGGATTACCAAGTCCTGGTAGAAATGTCAATCGCATTACTCAATCGCTTACACTTTTGCC